GCTCTGCAGCTTGGTGGTTATGATACCAGCTGGTCGTGCAAGGGGCTCACACGGGTAGCGCCGCGGCCCCACCTGCCGCCTGCGCAAACACCTCCATTCATGTAGCAGCTTTCTGCCTCCCGCTACACGAGACTATGTCCTGCAAACCCAAATTGATCTGCTCAAGATATCTGCTTAACCTGAATCATGTTTTACTTCAAGTGAATATAAAAAAACCTGCTGCTCTGGGCTCTGACATTCCTAGCTCGTTTCCACAGTCCTCTCACGCTGGAAGTGACAATTCCCGCACACACATTTCCTCCCGACGCTCCGCTGAGACCGCAAGCTCTCTTCCTACCCCAAAGCCCCGCACTATTCCAACAGCCGCATCTTCCACAAGTACAGAGAGAACTGCCCTCCCCCTTCTCTGTTCCTGCACAGACTTAGGACATTTTTCCTGCCTTTTCCTGATCTCCTCGGCCAGAGTTGGCTCCCTGGGCACCAGCCATGCCACACACCAGGCCCCTCTGTCCCTTCCTCACCCTGCCAAGAAGGTGAGGATGCCGGTGCTCAGATCAGGCGTTTCTCTCTGGTATAAGAGACCAGGTCATGAATATCCCAATGCTCACTTAGCAGTTTACAAGTGTTATCTGAACCTATTGTGAGGACTTCATAAATAGCATAAATATAATTTCTTAGATGACAAAGAAGTCCTGGTCAGAGGAGCTGGATATAAACACGGAGGGAGAAGATTCCAAGTTCCCACTTGCACGTTTGGCTCCCTCATCATTTCAGACTGACATTCATAACTATAGTCACTCCCAGCTACACACATGCCATTTGGGAACTTCCCAGGAACAACGGTAGAGAGTGCTCAGCATTTCTCAGGATTAGTCAATAAAATCTTGTCTAGTTTTCTGGAGCCAACTACCTTGCAGGTAAATTATGTTCTACCACGTTTTCTATCCTGAAGTGAAAAAGGTGCGAAAAAGAAAAAAAAAGATAGGAACTATAGAAACATAACTGTCCCAGACAAAAAGAAACTGTCCTCCCACTCCAGAAAAGAAATAGCGTGCAATTAATAACTAACAGATCCTGCTCTGGAGAGAAGCATTTTGAAGACAAGCTCATGGCTCAGAGAATACTTTTAAAAAGCATTAGTACTTTTTAAGTAGTCATCCGATAGAAAAGAGATTCTGATCTCAGAGACCAAGCTAGGGACTCTGTGACTGATCCATCAAGAGATCCTTCAGAATACAGTAAAAGCTTAAATTAGAAAAGTGTAATATCCCCTGTTTAATTAATTATACGGTGTGCTCTGTGCATCTCCAAAATCACAGTGCTCTCTGGTCCTTCAGAAGAGATGCACCACTGAAGCAGTGGAAAAAACAGCAGTTTCAAAATCCTTATAGGTTATGGGTCATTAGAGAATCCTAGCAACTGAAGTACTTGTGCCCTAACAGCCTATCCAGGAGAAACTTTTTTTGTCCCAATAAGCACAGAAATAAGATAATTAGAAGATCTTCCTAACGCCAATTCCTATGTGAGCTCTAGAGAGCTTCTGGATATAGGCCAAGCACCTAGGGATTCAGCTATTAGCAGGGTGGAGTTGCATCCTTCTGTTGACACTGTTGAGCTTGTAGTATAAAACATTCTTCTGAAAAGACAGGTAGAGCCTGGATTTCAGAGTGGATCATGTACATCTAAGCATGTGAATGTGGTTTAAGAACAAGGCAGTATATTTTTTGCCCCCATTTTAGTTGTAAATTTTCCTAATTTGGGAAATTATTTGCTTTTACAATGATCAGTTTTTGAGAGTATGAGGTCATGTAGTCATTGTCATATCTGGCTGCTGGATAACAGGGAAGAAAATTACAGATGAAGAAAAATTGAAGAATACTCACAGATTATTGTTTGACATGTTATGTGGGTAACGCCACTCTTCATAGGAAAATCATTTAGATACACCTGTCCATTAACATAGGTGATATTAAAAACAACCTGAAAGACAGACAGATAGAATGAATGGATGAATGCAGGGTTCCCGTGCCCCTGTGCTATAATTCTGTTTGCAGAGGAACACCCTTAATGCTGACTGAAGTCACACAAAACAATATATTCTCATTCACAGGCAAAGCTTGTTTCACAGCATGTTAACTCACAGAACAAACACAAAGACTTGACAAACCTGTCCTTTGGAAAATTCTCCGCTGGTTTTTAACATCGAAACATTGACTCTGATTGTTTCCTGGAAAACAGCAATGGAGAGAGATGTAAAGTTCGGTAAGAAAAGTGCTTAAGCTGCTGCAAGCCACAAGGCACTCTGGCCCTCTGCACCAATAGAGAGACCGCGCAAGGCAACCAAGCACATCCCCACACTGCCTAGCAAACCACTTACTTCTTACACACAAGGGCTTTTTCCTTCCTTTTTTTTTTTAATAAAAATGATGAGAAAGAATGACTGCAGCTTCCTTTTAGGCAAAATCTCTTTTTTTTTTCAATAAAAATAAAGCTAAAAGAAAGAAATAAAGCAAAATGCTTATGAAAAATGCTATGTGGAGATATAACGGAAACAGTCTCTCATATCAGCTGAAACAGAATAGACTTTACACCAGGTGACATCAGATTCTCTACCCTTAAAAAGCAGAAAATTGTTTTTAAAAGACTGTTAAAAAAGTGTGTTAAATGTTCCACTTATTTAAATTACATTTCACTTGGAAGACCTGAGACATAATGTTAGCCTACCCCAAAGCAACACTCGTTCTTTTCAATCTCAGCAGTACTCCTCAGTCTTTGGTTATCATCCCCAAATTATGCCACCCAGGGCCCCTCCAGAGCCACAGCTAATGGGCATTTTCTGCCTTCTTTCAAACCCTAATTGCTGTAATTTATTGTTTCTTTTGTGGATATCAGAGGAATGACTTCCCTTTTGTCATTCTGTCCTCCCATTTAATCCTTGTAATTTCAGGGACTCTTTTGCAGATGGGCCCTTCAGATTCCCAAAATGGCCCCTGACGAAAGCCATGTCCCAAATAACCTCCCTCGAACACAGCCGAAAGCAGCGACTTCCGCGCTACCCTCGGAAATGGCAGCAAAACCCGGCTTTCCTGCTGGCAGACTCCAAGGATCCTATCCACACTTCCAGAATACTCCTGGAGACTGTTCTCCGCACTTCCAGCAAAGTTTGCTCAGATTTTAGAAACAAACAAAGAGCACTAGAACAACAACAACAACAAAACCACAAGCAATTCTCACCCTCACTCTAACGCTTGGGAAATCACATTTTTAGAAAACACTGGGTTCTTTAGGGAAGAAAGTACTTGAACAATAGAGTCTCCAACACAAGACAGTCACATTTAATGAGAAGAGTTTGGAAGCACACCTGCTATATAAAAAAAAAAATCTTTATAACAACTGGCACTGATTTAGTTAATACTGGTTTTCCCAGGAATACCGCAAACTCAAAAGCAACATTCAAATCTGATGCAATAGGAATCAGGCTTCAGTGTCCTTTAAAGCCTAGTTTAAAACCCAAAACAGGCAACTTCTTAGTTGGAAATGACTCATCATCGATGTTTCAGCTACACGTCAAGTCACGTGGAAAACTCCCAGAGATTTTGAGGGACATTGAGGGCAAATCTCAATGATTTTTCTATGAAATGGGTAAAAGAAAATTATCAGATTACTGAGTTTTCCCCAAAACTCACATCCTAACCATTCACAGTAAAAGAACATTATCAGTTTAATCAGATAACTGGGAGTCTATTAATGAAAATACACCTTGAATTAGGAAAAAGATCAGAGGATGCAATCCATTCTGTTATCTGTAATTTCTTCAAACCAAATATTTTCTTCTCCCATTTTAAGAACACTATGTATTAAAAAAATCCACTCTTTATCTAGCATTCAGAGCCGTACTTCTTTTACAGCCCCACATTGCATAACAGATTATTAAATCTGTGTGTCATGACTTCCTATTTTTTTCTATCCAGTGAGAAATCAGGGGGCATCAAGGATAGATTTTCCAGGCAGTCTTCTTTCAGTTTTTGAGCTTCAAATGAAATTCAAGTTCCTTTATGCAAAAAACATTTTGCAATCTTTTTCAACATCTCTGAAATGACTCAATAAAAATACAAGAGAAAAGGAAATGACTGATAACCAGTAGCTAGTGAAGAGAAGGATAATTCCCTCAACACTTTCTTTTTAAGCAAATGCTATGTTTGAAAATGAATGACATGGGGAAAAACTGATATGCTGAGTATTGAGCATTACATGCAAAAACTGAGCTACATGTGATTTTTTAAGACAGCTTTCAATTCTGTAATGCCTTAGTGCCCAAAAGCACATAGGTACACACTTAACTTGCACTTGAAGAGCATATTATGTGTTTAAGAAATTAAAATATTTCAGTGGATCATCTCCCCACTGTCCAAGTTACAAAAAAGAGAGGCTCAGAGGCAGCTAGGACAGCTGATCTGATCCAGCAGATCCTGCCACTGAGAGAAGCAGGATAGTTCCCTCTTCTCCCTGCATCCTCCTTCCCTCTCCCTTGTGCCAGCAGTCAGTGAGTCATTTAGCTCATTACATTGGCAGGAAACCATCCACTTTATTGCTGGGCTATTTTTCTGTCAGCGAAGAGCCTGGCGAGTAGCAGAGTCAGTGCAAGGGACGGGACGCCGGTGTGCGGCGGGGAGCAGGTCTACTCATGCTGACAGCCTCGGGCTGTTAGACTGGCTCAGCTGCACGGTCCCTCGTACTGCCAATACCTTCTCGGGTCAGAGCTAAGGGGATGCTGCAGCTCCTGAACTGCACAGCTTCATAAAGCAGCTCCGCAATCCCTGCTAGATTGTGTTTGCAGAGCTCAATTTCTTGGCACTCCTGTGCCCTGCACTTCATTCACATTCAGATCCAACAAATTCTTCAACCAGTGCAGTCCCATCTCCTGCACTGTCATGGTGCCATGCCTGGATTTGTCACGCTAGGAACATTTGCTCCTGATCAGTCACACGTCCTTGTTCTGACTCTTCACTGGTAATCCCACAAGACTGTGACCAACCTTGCTAAGAAACACTCCAAATGGATCTCAAAGTCCTGGTGCTGTTGAGTTTAAATTGTTCCTGCTCCACTTAGATTGGTATAAAAACGTCTCAAGTACCCATAACACCACTGGGCTGGAAAGGATCTCAGTGTATTACCTAGCCCTTCCCTCTGTCCAGAGGCAGCACCAACTGTATCCATCATTCCTGACAGGATATGCTGTCAGAATACACATACCAGAGCTCCCCACGGGGCTCCCCTAAGTGCTGCATCCCAAGCTCAAGAGCCACATGCTGCTACTGCTTGTTAAAGTGGCTAGGAGGCAGCCTGGGCAGCCCCGCACATTTTGTATCTTGCCTTCCTCGTGGGAGGCTGGAGCTGAAAGCCATCCCTGTTACAACTTCAGTCTTAAACACACCTACGGAGCCACCTCCATCTAACCATCCAGAGATCAAGACTCAGGAATCTTACGAAGTATCCTTTCATTTCAACAGAGGGAATACTTCTATGGTGGGATAATAAAAATCTCTACTTAGAAAATAAACCAGATTTGCTTTACAGACACATCTTACAGCTAAGTGCTCCAGCACTAAGAAAAGTAAATAAGAAACTGCACATGATTTATTTTGTGAATGAAAAAAAAAAATGTTAAGCCTGTAGTAATGAAGCCACCAGGAGCCAGACCTTGGACCTACAGATTAATCATGTGGCCAAATTCTGGAGAAGCCCATACTAAGAGTATAAAATTTACTCGTTGCAACTTACAAGACACTTTTGAGCATTAACATCAGGTTCATCTAAACTTCATGCAGTCTTGTAATTTACCATGTCCCAAATCTATCAATATACACTAAAAATGGCCCCATAATTCTTAGTGCTCTCCAGGAAAGTAGATTTTTCTCCTGCATTTTCCTAAGATTTCCCATCATTGTACTAATATTCTGACAATGCTATGCCTGTAAAGAGGAGAGCACTTCCACCACCTTCCGCTCTGGGAAAGTTAGGGCAATGCAGCAACAGTGTAGCAATAAAACTCCACCAGAATTATTGTGAATTTTTGTGATTTTATTTGTCAGCCAATGATTCTGTGAACTTGAATCAGTCAAAAATGCAAACGATGAGCATTTTCTAATCTCTTTCACCGTGTGCTACAGTGAGACCCAGGAGCATAAGTGGGGCAGTACGAGCATGGTAGCAGAAGATCAGGATGGCAAAAAGATGGTGGCAAGGAATACAAAGCATCTAACATGACTTAAAAGGGAATAGTCACTAATTCTGAAAGACTCTTCTCAAGAGTGCCACACCGACAAATGTGCAGAGAACATTTTACTGATTTCTAGCCTTTTAAAAAAAGGCCAGACAAGAGGAAGCTGTTGGGTCTAACCATGCAGGCAACTCAAATGGATCTGCCTACAGGGACAGGAGACTTCTCTCCATGGGCAGCAGGTACCTGATGGGCTGCATGGTTGGGTTACTGCCAGCAACTGTTTGGCCCTGAACAACGGCCTTAGTCACACAGATCGCAGGCAGGCAGGGCAGGCAGGCAGCCCGCTTAGCCTGCAGCTGATCCCCTGCAATGCTCTCTGAACCAGGCGTTTTGTGCTGGGCAGTGCGGCAGGCGGCGCGAGGAGCAGATGGCGCGACGCCCCACAGCATGGCCAGCTGCTGCACGGCCGGCAGCTCCCTCTCAGCACCCGCACGGGCCCAGCTGGGATACCCTGTTTGCAAGAGGAAAACATAAAGGCCAAAGGCGGCTGCCAACCATGTAAGAAATAATCAAAACTAATCAGTGTTTCTAGACTTGAGAAGAGGTTGTGGAAAAGAGTGTTGAACAAAGAGAAAAGCTACCATCCAAACTCTTCCCACCTGAGTCTTGTCTCTCCTGGAAACCTGGAAACCTTGTCTCACACGGAAACCTGGCCCCAAAGGGTCTAGGGTTGTGACCTGTGCCCCTGTAAGTCTTTAGTCAGGTTGGAAACACAGCCATATTTTGGATGAACCTTAACTGTAATCAGCGTAACTACATCAAGCAATAACTGTGGCAGCATCCTTCACAGGTCTGCAGGGCTGTCCCTCACACTTGACAAATGTTTAGTCCAAAACCTTCTCTAGTGAGGGCTGGCATTGCTTGGCAGTATTTGCTTAAGCAACTAAGCCAAACTAGCCTCGTATATATATATGTGAATC